GGAAATTTCCAACGATGCGTCTTTGTCTTAATGACCATAAACTCCCAGTGAAATTATTCTTTCTGCACATGTACGGTACGTCCCCTGACTAACAGTTTTTTTCCGAAAAGCTCTTTTGTTTCCACGAATGTGCACGTGCTGTTATTTTGCATATTGAGTCCACCAGTGCAATGCGTAATTCCCAAGACGTTCTTTGCGTGTGATTGGTTGACCGAGTCGGGTTTCGTGAACGGGAACTGCGCGGTGCGCGGTGCAAAGGTTGTACCGTCTACCGTGAACTACCCCGCTGAGAACATCTTACATCACTTATTCCATGAACATGGGGCCTGTAGTTGCGAAATCCAAAACTTTAATACCACTCTTTCTTCGAGCACAAGCTTCCAGTCGTACTTTGCCAACCTTGGGATGGCGTCCAGCAAGATCTTCTTGCCGTGCTGCAGTCAAGGTTCTCATAGCTAATGGAGCGCGGGTACCTCACAAGTCCAGTCTCAAGAAGCACGGGATGAACAATATGCCATAAATGCCGTTATCACAGTTCATTGGAATAGCTTGTGAGTTGACTCTTTGGAATTGGCGACTTGTGAGTGGCTTGTAATGGATTGTGTTTCATCACAAGTGCCGTGACTACATTACTGCTTATTTTATTGCCGTGTATCATTCACGCACAAACTGTATCAGCATTTGTTTAATTTGCACACTGACTCTGCATTGTTCAACCAGAAGTAATGGTGGCTAAAGTAAAGCTAGCCATCTCCCTTTAATAGAATATGCTTGCCACTGCCATGAAAACTGCAGGAAAGAAAAAACATAATAATTCACAGGAAACTTAAAAAAATTAATCCGCTAATTTCAAATTCTTCTGTCTGGAAAAGTAATAAATGGCACGTTTACCTCAGTGTAAGTTTCCAAGAGGGGGATTTAATAGGCATTTGTTGATATTTTCTGCATGATTTTCCTCTTTGTTTGGGTGGCAGGGGGGGGGGGGTTAAGACCCCCTAACCCCGCCCCCATTAGATCCCACTCTAGAAAATGTGGTATTACTCAGTTTTTACAAGATAAACAAAGAAAGTACTGGAAGATATTTGCATTGTTTGGATGTAAAGTGTTTTTTTTTTGGTATTAGTGCATTGTATTTGAAAAGGTTATTCCAAAACGCGATAAATGTCATTTTGCTCCCTTTTAAAATCCCGCCCTCCCCTGGCTGCCCAATGTCAGTTGCGACAGGTTTAATGTATTAAATACATGTACTTAAGAAATTATTCAAGCGAAAAGTGAAGTTTAGAAACAGCTGTGTTTTTATTCTCCTCACGTAATCCCCTAATAGATAAAATATCTACAAGCCCATAATACACTGCTTAAATCGAGTGCAGAACTTATGTTTCAAAATGTATAGTATAAAATCCAATGTGTTCTCTCTTTAGCAAATAAGAAGTACTGCCAGCCACCTATCATATACACTGTATGCTGTAAATGCACCAGAAAGAAATGAATATAAACAACAATAATCAAGTAACAACTCGAGTATCAACCTACATGTACTTTGTTGTCCCCAGTGGCGTAAATCGAGGGGGATGGAAGGTATGTATTCCCCCCTTTACTTTTTGACCTGGGGGATGGGCTATTGAATCATCCCCCACTTTTTCGTGATGACCAAAATCCAAAAATTGCCAGTTCGTGGAAATTTGAGGGGGGGGGGGCTGGACACCACATAACACTATGGGGCACTTTTCAAGATATCAACATGTATACTCGCGCTTACATCAAAACAGTGCATTTTAAAAGTTTTGGTACTTTGTTTTTCCACTTTTCAGTGCTATCGAATACATTTGGGTTGTTGGGATGTTAAAAAAATACCCCAAAATCCCCATTTTGCTTTTGTCATCACGAAAAATTGGGGGATGATTCAATAGCCCATCTCCCAGGTCAAAAAGTAAAGGGGGGATACATACCTTCCATCCCCCGGGATTTACGCCCCTGCTTGTCGCTGCTTAAGATGTATGATATAATTATTTTGAAAGAAAGCAATTAAGGAAAAATGGCCACATGTCTTTTTACAATCTTATTTCTATTATTCAAAATTTCTGGGAAAATTTTTTTTTTTTAATTTACAAGTAATAAGATATTTCGTTTGCAAACCTAATTATATTTCAGTATAAATTTTGCAACCAGGACTGTTTAGAAGTCTATACTTTATAGTTATTTCAGTTCATGTATAAAATTAGCTGATTATAGTATGACAAAAAAACATTTATTTTAAAAATATATATGAGATACACCAAGATGGTAGGAAAATTCCAACTTGCATAGAAAATTTCTAAATTTGACCCCATAACTGTAGGTCAGACGAAGAGGTGACATGTTGACAGCGCTAATTTTGTCCTTTCAGCTGCTTTGAAAATTAAAAAAAAAACAATTATTTAAAAAAAAATATATGAAATACACCAAGAAGGTAGAAAAATTTCAACTTGCATAGAAAATTTCTAAATTTGACATGCATAACTTTTAAGAAATTCCTGCGCAGCTGTTGACACTTTTATCTTTTCCACAACATTTTTTTTTTACATTTTTGCAAAAAATTCAGCGCGATTCAGCCAATTAACCTGTAAAAATATGAAATAAATAAAGCTATTAAAAAAATTAGAAAACTGAAGAAATGTTACATGAACTCCCAGTAAAATAGCCTTGCCCGCTTCTACTTCCACGCTCCTGACCAGAATATGGTCAATTTTGTCCCAGAGTAAGCACTAGTTGTACAAAATAATGTACTGTGTGCCCTCTTCGGCAAATAAGAACACTTAATACCGCAAGCATGATCATACAAACTGTACATGTACCGGAAAGAAATGGATATAAAAAACAATAATCAAGTAATAACTCGAGTATCAACCTACATGTACTCTGGTGTCCCCAGTGGCGTAAATCCAAAAATTGCCAGTTCGTGGAAATTTGAAGGGGGGGGGGGGGGCTGGACACCACAATACACCATGGGGCACTCTTCAGGATATCAATATGTATGCTTGCGCTTACATCAAAAAGGCGCATTTTAAAAGCTTTTGTACTCTGTTTCTCAACTTTTCAGTGCTATCGAATATATTTGGGTTGTTGGGATGTTAACAAAATACCTCAAAATCCCCATTTTGCTTTTGTCATCACGAAAAAGTGGGGGGATGATTCAATAGCCCATCCCCCCGGTCAAAAAGTAAAGAGGGGGGGGGGGATACATACCTTCCATCCCCCGGGATTTACGCCCCTGGTTGTCGCTGCTTAAGATATATGATAGAATTATTTTGAAAGAAAAGTAATTAAGGAATAATGGCCACATGTCTTTTTACAATCTTATTTCTATTATTCAAAATTTCTGAGAAAATTCTTATTTTTTATTTAAAAGTAATAAGATATTTCGTTTGAAAACCTAATTATATTTCAGTATAAATTTTGCGACCAGGACTGTTTAGAAGTCTATACTTTATAGTTATTTCAGTTCATGTAAAAAATTAGCTGATTATAGTATGACAAACATTACGCACACATTTTTCTCAGCCAATCATAAGGACGTAACAATGGATTGATTCATATACCACAAAAAATACTGCCTAATTATCATAAAAGAAGCTCGATCGGTCTCGGAAGCTGCGGGGCCAACGAATTTGTGTTCACCTTAATTTGACCTTTGACCCCATAACTGTAGGTCAGGCAAAGAGGTGACCATGGACATTTTTAAATGTCTGATCAAGGCCAACATGTTGACAGCGCTAATTTTATCATTCCAGCTGCTTTGAAACTTTTTAAAAATCTTAAGTTTAAAACTATATATGAAATACATCAAGAGATCAAGAAGGTAGGAAAATTCGACATGCATAACTTTTAAGCAATTCCTTTGCAGTGGTTGACATTTTAATCTTTTCCACATAAAAAATTACATTTAAATTTTTTAGCCTTCACAGTCCTGAATCCTCTAATTTCAATACGATTTTGCACACCCCCTAGGGAGCTAGGGTTAAAACAAATTCAGCACGATTCGGCCAATTAACCTGTAAAAAAATATGAAAAAGATTAAGCTATTCAAAAAATTAGAAAACTAAAGAAATGTTACATGAACCAGTAAAATAGCCTTGCACTTGCCTCTACTTCCACGCTCCTGACCAGAATATGGTCAATTTTGTCCCAGAGTTACCATTGTGTTACCAACACTGAAAAGTTGAGCATGGCTATATGAAACAACTTACAATACAGGTAAAGAAAAACTGTCCATAAGTTGTTATAATTGTTAGAAACAATTTTTGATAAGTATTTCAATTTATTGTATTTGCTTGTTTTTGGAAAGTCAAAATTTGGTAGTTATATTTTAGAGGAAACTTAGTGGCTTATTTTGATCAACATTCCGGGGATCGACCGATCGACCACCAAGTGCCATGTACAATGTGATGTAAAGGGGATACCCCTTTTATTTGACAAGTGATTTTCATTTTAAGCTCTGACAGGAGTGTCACAGCTTGAAATGAAAATCACTTGTCAAATTAAAGGGGCATCCCCTTTACATCACGTTGTACAATTTTTTGAATCTCTTTTCAAAACTGATTTGTTTATGATCGTTAAAGTTTACAGTAGGCCTATGTCAACATAATTTAAAGACTAATTCTTCTTAAAAAAAAAAAAAAGAAAGACAGATCGACTGCAAGTTACTAAATATTAAAATTGAAACTCCAGAGAAATATATTACACTTTTCAAAATTGACTTCACGTGATAGGCTCCGTTTAAACTCGCCGGAGGTAGTTTGCACTGGTATTGTTCATGTGTAGAGTAAAATGCCTCATCATCTCCAACAGACTTGTAATATTTTCTTCTTGTGGAATGCGAGCATAAAATTACAACATGAATGTTTCTTGGCCGGTGCTTACGGTTAGAAATCATTCTGTCAAAAATTGTAACAAGAGAAAGGGCAACCCGGTGTAAATGTCCAAAGACACGTCATCAAGGGGTCCGGAGGCTCATATAGGCAAAATGGCGTCGGTTTCAGCACGAATGTATTCACTTCGTTTCTTCTTTAGACAGACCTGTTTTAATGACAAACATTACAATGCAAATAAAAAAACTTATGTAAATTATTGCTACATCATATTGGTACATCATAACCTACATGTCTGGAAAGGGTTATAAAATTCGGTGGACCAGAACGCGTAAAACTAAAGTGTTTTCGGCCTCTCGTCCCACGGACTAAATGGGCACGCGCGCGAATACACAGGCTTTTAGTTGACTGCCCCTCAAATATTTCCCTGACCTCTAATTGCCCCCCCCCCCCATTTTAAAGTCTGGCGCAGCCAATGGACCAACGCAAACCCCATCAAATCCTCGTCAGCAGCATTCAGCGTCATATACTCAAGGTTAACCAAATTAACTTTTTTAAAACTATGCAATACACATAATCGCAGTTTATTACCCTTTACATGGGCATGATGGGCGGCAAACCCGGTTGACGATACATGTTTGAACAGCGCCCCTTTTAGTGAGATAGACTCCACCTCGCCCCCTCCCCCTTTGAATTTCCCTAAGCTGCTGGTCCTCCCTATACCCCTCCTCATGCACAGTTGACAAAATATTTAGCACCGCTCCTAACCCCTTCCTGGTCCCCACAGCGTCTTTTTTTAATACATGTACATGTACATGTACATGTACAATTATACCTACCTGGATTGCTGGAGGACTGAACTTCATCATAAGTTGCCGTTGTGGGTTCAGTTTTGGTAAGGCGCACCCTCGTGCGTGTAGAACTGCTTCCTACAGCAACACCCATTGCCTCACACACATATTCTATGTCACTGTAATCCGAAGGAACTTGGATTATTGCTGAAGTTGAATAGGTGTTGTTTCGCAACGACGAACCTGATCAATAGATTTATACATGCATGTTTTAATAAAAGGTTACTAAACAAAATCGGAAACGATCATTGGGGTGTATGGGGCGCTGTTATGTTCAAGGTCGATGATATTTGAAACAGACACACGACGGACGGACACACAATTTTGTCGACAGTACAACGATTTTGGCGACCAAAAAAACTAAAACTAGGGAGGGGAGAGGAGTGCAACACCCCCACGGCCTCACAAACCCTCCAGCGATGCCAGTGACTACACGATTCCTCCATGATCTTATGAAGAACATTGCTCACCTGTGTTAGCCGGTAGAACTACAGATCTGACTGCTGTTGAGGCCTTGAGTTCCGTCAGCCCGCCCAAAAACCACTTCAATTCCACGGCAGGTTTGACCTGCTCCATGACGCAGGTCAGGTCATGCATCGTGCTGTCGTGTCGTACTCTCACCTCGCACGTGTCTGCGTCGTGGTCTTGATTGCAGCCGATGACAGTAGGATATGGCCGACTTGGGGAGACTGTTGGTAAAGGGTAATGGACATCATTAATTTTGCAAAAAAAAATGGATTTTCACTGATTCAAGAAACAACAATACAATTAATCTGAAGAAGGTTGTTCAACAAACTAGCCCGCCCAAATTTCAGCTCAGACACTTCTGCAGGAAACACTGAAAGTGCATTCTCTTGTGGTAAGATCCCAGTTTGTCATTTCAAGATGAATTCGTCCTAGCCATCGGGACAATGATGGGAATTCCTGTTTTCTCGAAAATGACAGCATACTAGGCCCACTGATTTCACAGGATGTTTGATCCTATTATTTATACATTAAAGTAGGATAATTTCTATATTTTCTATAATATTTTGGTACTTTCGTTTTTGAATGATTGAGGTATGCTAATCAAAGTGTGATTCAGAGATTGGGGGCTACATTCGAGTAAAAACTTGTCCGAGACTCGAGACAAAGTACGGAAACCAGACGTCATTATTGTAATCGACCTGCGACCAATGTCATGGAGCTGCTAGGCACATGACATTTCCTAAACACAGGAAATATTTCCTTGGCAAAAAATTTACCTGCCAACATGCCATGCTGTATTATTGCTTGTGACTGCAGGTTCCAGCTTATCTTTGTTTAGCACATACGTGTATATAATTATATGCTGAGCAGTATTTGCTGTTTAAAATATCAATGAAATTGGGAAATGTGCAGATCCACATGTCGGAATTTTCTTAATAAATATTCTTCCAAATTTAGTTTTTATATATCTATAGCGACAGCGAGCCAATTGAACTTATTTTTTGGTTTTGTATATTTTAATGGAATTTGCAAAATGCTAAGAAACATTTGAAGCAGACAAGTAAAGTAAACTCACAAAATGGACTCACCCTTGTTATAAACGTCAATCTGTCCCCCTTTCATGCTTAGAAAACGCGGTTTCAGCATATAGTAGTAGGTTCCCTCATTGGAGGCGGTGACGTTCTCAATGATGAGATTGCACTCACTGTCGATATCATAGACGCCCTCTGGGATCCCGTTTTGGGGAGCCACTCTTCCCAAGAAGTACGAGATGAGGATGGATGTGTCGCTTGTTGAGCCATAGCGCCAGTACATCGCGTCGACGTCTTCTACCGGCATTTTGCAAGATTTGCTCAGGGGACAGGGCACGATCCCACGGTGGCTTCGTTCTAAGAACAAGGCTTCAACGGTGATCGCTTGCACTATAACTAACGAGAAATCATTCCTGATTTTACTACATAGAGTCTTTCGGAAATCTAGGTCAATCGAAATTCTTTTTGACACGATTGTTTTGCTCTTGATTAGTAATTTTAATTTGTAGTAAATTAACTCCAGTCAAACAGTTTTCTCAATTTGGACCAAAAGTCAAACACCGCCAGATTTGCCTTCATAATTGTGTTTGGAGGCATTATAGGATAGGAGGAAACCATTGCCATAAAGTGATTTCACCCCCAGATGTAGGCCTAGTCAGGATTCCAAAAAGGTATTTGCCGGTAATTCACAGCCATTTTTATTAACTACATCGGGATTTCCCATATAATCCCAATACTCTTTTAGACTTTAAAACTGAATTGACCTGTAATTTGGTAATAATATTGGGATTACTGAGTTTAGATTTACAATCCATGCAGTGCAGCCAGGTCATGAAGCCCGTTTCATACTCGGCGCAAAAGCGAAAGCGAACGCGAATTGGTGACGTCATGGCAAGTAATCGCGCCACGAATTCGTAAAAGTTGAACACATTTCAACTCGGGCGGATTTCGCAGCGAACGTTTCTTGACGTCGAATTCGCTTCGCATTCGCATTGGCGCCAAGTATGAACCGGGCTTTGAGTCCGCCAAAAAGATTATTATTATTATTTTGTGACTGCTTACAGGTGCAGCATAGTAACAGCAATGATGGTACCCACTGCATTTGAATTCCGACTCGCCTCGTCATTTTGCAGTCTCTATAATGGAAGCAAAAATGCAATTATAACGTAAAATGTGTTGAAGTCTTTTTCCAGAATTATTTTTATTGTGTCTATAATTATTGGTGCCTTAATGTTCATTTTTCTCAGAAACTTCTACAATTTTTTTATTGGTAGCAAAACAAAGGTTATACATGTATATAGTGGTACATTGGGACCTATAAATCCTTCTGTGAATAAGGGTGCATAATGAAGAGATCAATTCTGATGCATTTCAGTTGGAAATTCATTAGCAGCGCCGCCGTTTGATTACTTTCCTCGCGCTTCCTTGCACCTCTATAAGTCTTGGAATTAAGACTACATGTATATGCACGGATATGTTATCACCCAATATTCTTGGCAAGAGCTTTCGCCACGATTTATCGGAAACACATTGTTACGTGTTGAACTTGAAGGGGTACAGTGACAGGAGAAAGAAATACTTACTTGGCCCCAAATTATACAGAATGAAATTAAAATAGTGTCTTGTGCATTTGAAAACAGGGTCCCCCCAAGACACCCCTGGATTGAAACCATTGACAGCTCTCTCACCCTGGGATCATTTGCATGTCCAGATTTTTTTAACATGTTGGGGCATATGCAAATCAGTAGTCTGGTGACGTCCTATGCTTCACAACAGCGTTTGTTTTGTGTGGTGTCTAGGCATGGGCGTCGCCAGGATTTTTTCTTGAGGGGGGCAAAACATATTTTTCCCAGAAAATTCCTGTATGCCTCAACATATTCTCGATTTCTCAGTTTAGAGGGGGGCAGGGACATTTTTGGGGGGCATTTTTGCCCCCCCCCCCCGCGACGCCCATGTGTCTAGGGTAAAAACATCAATTTGTCGCGGCGTGAGCATGGCGTGAGTTACGGAAACACGATTTTGTTCTCAAAATTTAAATGTTACAATCTTTACCAGACAAATAATGCAGTCACATTTCATAACTTGAACAAATTGGAAAGGAAATGATTATTTTGAAGAAATGTGTGGACGAAATAATTACAAGAACTAAAAAAAACGTAATGCACGTTGGAAATAACAACACCAAGTACACAATAGAAATGTATTACGTTTAAATTGCGGTATCGAATCAGGATACAGGAAGAAAGTTTCCTATTCAGGGCTTACTATTAGAAACGAGGTTGAAACTAAAGTAAGCCCTATCCTGGGGACGACGTTGTGTTAACAGGTGCATAAGGCCAAAAAAAATAATAGTTCTGCTTCCGGTTTCCCTACCTATCCTATTCTGACAGCCCCATACCCTAATTATTTTATTGGAAAAATGAGAGAAAAACCACCCCAAACCATCACTTTATACCTTTTACATCACTTGATATTGACTACACGCAGACCCCTCCATTATGATGGTACACAAAAAGAATTGGCAAAAAAAATTCCCTACCCAACTACCCTATTTTCGAATGTCATGTAATCGGAAGCAAAACTATTTCTTTTGGGCCTTATTAAAGAAATAATCATAGCCCTTTTGACCCACGTCCTGGACTCTATTGGACTTTGGACTAAGCATAATTAATGTATTACTGTCTGGTCGTACACGAATTACCACGAGACTGTTGTACATGTAGATGTTTGTAGTTTGTAAATACCATATAGCCTATGGTAATGGAATGATCGATCAGTGTTTGCCTAGCCGAGAATAAAGCACGTTTTCAAACTCAATTATTGCGTGAAAACCGACTTTAACTAGTTCATTACAAACTGGCGACGCGGATAACTGATCGGTAAAATCGTGGAACTTCGAAAGGGGAAAGATGAATGGCTGTAGTACGTTGAAAATTGCAACATTTAATATTTGTTGCCGACGATATCACGGCCGCAGCAAAGAAACAAGCCATACTGCTTTAGTGATTGGGACCGACGCCTACAAGTTGCTGAGAAATCTCGTGAACTTGCCCCGCTAAACCTGGTGAAAAATCCTATGAAGTATTGGAAATGCTTGACCCAACACCACATCCCTCAGGACCTAGCTGTACCATCGCAACTTCGACTCCAGGGTGTCAAGCAGTACGCGCCCATCACGACCTGCTCTCTCACCCTGGTACGGGATCATTTGCATGTGCAAAATATTTGAACACGTATGCAAATGAGGAATAGTCTGGTGCCTGCATGTGCGTTACATTATCGTGCGTTTTTGTATGCGGTGACTGGGGTAAAAACAGAGTCCATTCGTCGCAGCGCCAGCACAGCGTGAGTTACGAAAACACGATTTATTCAATTAAACTGTTACAACATGCAGTATCACATTTCATATTAATACCAAAGGCGTGGACGAATGATCGTGAAAAAACTTACTGCACGTTGTGAATAGACCTTTCTGCGAGTTGGTTGGCATACTGCATTTTTGCCAACCACGGCCTACAAAACTATGGAAGGTCCAACATTGCAAAAATTAAGAAGAGTTATTACAGATCACCAAAATATTATTTGATACTTGAAAAAACAACATTTTCAACAAAGCTACAAAATAATTCCTACATATGCCTTTTTACTATGTGTTGATGGCGTTATGTGGAAATTCTTTGGAAAAATATGTTGCCAACCACGGCTTCAATTTATGCACTTACGGCAGCCCATACAAAATGGCGCCAATGTTTACAAACAAAAGAAATGCCTATAACACCACGAAGAAATCCATTACTAGCCAATTGCGATATCGAATTAGGATACAGGAAGAAAATTTCCTATCCAGGGCTTACTATTGGAAACACGGTTTGAAATAAAGTAAGCACTGGGGACGAGGTTGGTACCATCGGAAATTGTTAAAAAGACACTGCATCCTGGAATGAGCTCAATTGGGCTACAAAACGCGCTTTGAACGAAATGATGTTAAAGCTATAGTCCATCATTTGCAGCCATCCGAAAAGTAACTGGCGTAATTATTGTCCTGAAATCCACGAAATGTTGTAGCATGGAGGTAGCATGGTAAAATCAACCCAGGCACTTTTTTTCAGTGTGGGCTAGTTGTGATTCCAGCCGCCCAGTTGTCGCTTACTGTGGACGGGCGGTATAAGAAACCACATTTGTGTATTGGTGCTGTGTGTAACATTATACACACCATAGAGCTGTACACACACAACATGTATCGTACACTGAATGCAAACGACGGGGAAAACGTATGCGTACTCCAGTGGCGTAAAAATACTACAGTATATAAAAAACAAAATTGTAACTTTTTGTCCAAATCCCGACGCAAATTCTATTTTTAATGAAAGACGATTATGTATGTGTATTTCATAGTCCGAAATTAGTTCATGCACAAGATTGAATATTATACACATACGAACACGTACCGAAGGCTGTAAAATAGTCCGCGCGCGTTACAGAACCGAGTATTGCGTTTTCAGAGTCCAAAGTTCGCTCGTACTCCCCGCCCTGCCAACAGGGCGCTGGTAATTGGGCTGATGAGCTTCACAGAATCTTGTGAAGGAAGTAGAGGATTGACCTTCGCATGCAGCTAGCTAGCGCGCGCTACGCATGATGGGCAGCGGATGCTAGTTTGTGTGACGCGTTCTACGTCACGGGTCACGCAAATCTATCCAATGAGAGCTCAAATGAGTCAGCCCTGACCATAGTCTAGGGGCTAGACGTTGTTCTTGTTTGCTACGCCGATAACCGGCCACCGCTATAACCGGCCACCGCGAGAGGGCGCTTTATCACGACCAACCAATATCACCCACGAACTTGTCACCCAGAACATTCGCTCGTACCCCCGCCCTGCAAACAGGACGCTGGGATACTCTGATCAGCTTCACAAAATCTTGTGAAGGAAATGGCCTATGACCTATGTATAAAGCATCAGGCTGCAGCTGATCAAGACCGCATTTACACAATGTGCTCAAAGGCTATCCGAAACTTCCCATAGAATTACGCACATTCCATACCGGATGTGATTTCTGTTTCATTGCGGACCGTGTGGACACAATTTTGAGCGTCGCATAATGCAATCCGACCGTTCGTGGCTCGAAACGGAGCCTGAGCGAGTGACAGGAATTGTAAATTTACAACACATAAGTTTTACAGAATTTCCTACATTAATACGCTTTTTCAACGAGAAAAAAAATCTCTAAACTGGAATAAAAGAGAAATGAATCAGTCTAAACGGCCGTTTCGAGCCTTGCAGAATCATGACCTTGATGACGCGCAGGTCACTGGTCACGCAAAATCCAACCAATCAGAGCGTGAATTCATCATGAGTATCCCAGCATCCTGTTTGCAGGTACTTGCTATTGGTTGTGTAATGCGCGCGCATTTGTTTTGGCTAATGTATGTAGCGCGCATTATTTATGTTGCATAATTACCCCAAATACATGCATATTCATAGTCTGACTCCCTGACGTACCATACCGTGCCGTTTCCAGCGGATATTGAATCATGATGTAATGTACGTGTGTATACATGTAATGGTGCATGTGTACCAAGGTGACCGTTTTAGCCCATTTTCGGCTAACTTTGTCCGCATTTTGTAAAAAAACGAGAGTTTGATAGAAAATTTGACAGAATGGATTTTTTTGGGCAGATTTCTGGCAGAATTCTGCAAAAATGGTTGTAAATTTGATTTGATGAGAACACTGAGCAAATTTGAACAAAAAATGAACAAATCTGAACAACAAATTCGAACAAAAAATGATACATATTTGTTTAAAAAGCTTCAATCCTTTCAAACAAACCCTGGCATAATGGGACAAGTTGGCTGGTCTAGGCAGAGTTGTAATGACTCGAGTCAATTGACTCGACTCGAGTTCCTAAGGGTAAATGACTCAACTCGACTTTACTGCGAGCAAATGACTCGAGCGAAGGCTGATAAATCGTCGCTTTGCTCACGAAGTGACAAAAACCTCGAAAATCGATATTTATTCGATTTTGAGTTTTACTAGCCATTTTATTATAGTTATCTCAAGGAACAATTTGACCAAGTTTCAAGGCAAAATATTGTTACTTTCTTAATTATTGTAAACAAACAATATTATTGACAACAAGCGGCCTGAAATCGGTGATTTTCATTTTCACGAAGTGTAAAAAAGTGTAAATTGTTCTCACGAAGTGACAAAAAGTCACCTCGTGAGCAGGGCCAGAAATTATACAATGGTCTACACGCGGCAGGATGGGAGCGTACACGCGCGCGCGAACGATGTTGAAAAGGAACAGACGCGCGCGTGCTCAACTGTCGTGACGCGCAAAAGTAACAAGTTTGTTGCGTCGAAAAAAGTACAAGCCTCCGCGATTCATGATCCCACGAAGTGACAAAATATGGGAGCCAAAGTATTGATGTTCTCACGAAGTGCAAAAAAGTTTTATTAATGAATAACTGTTTAATTACGAACTATTTTGACAAACAAAATACTATGAATTAACAAAGAGCAAATCATATCCTATCGGACAATGCAAAAAATTTCGAATTCTGTTACTGCAAAGTGGTTGAAAATGTCTTTTGAAAATATGACCAACTTCAAATGCGATTATCTCAGAATGGACTTTTGTCAAATTTTGAGGTTTTTGTCACTTCGTGAGCAAAACGACGAAATAAGACTCGATCGAGCCCGCCCCCCCCCCCCAAAAAAGCGCAACTTTGCGAAAAGTATTCGCAATGACTTACGGTGCAAAATTTATGCTCACTTTACTTTGCGAATAGCAGTCATATACAAATATACAAGTGTCACAGACTCCCACCCCATGATTCTAGAACGCACAAAATACCATCCGGGAACCAGATTTTTAAAACACATTTTCTATTTCGCTGTTTCATCATGGTTTTTTTTTAATTTCTTATGAAGCTTTGGATTTGAACGCTCGCTAAAGTTATGTCCTCCTTTAAATTTTGGCCCTATACATAGTGTTCAAAT